GCTTCCTCTGAGACAACATGATAGAAGAGACCAAAAAGAGTGGTGCTGGAGGTGGTCTCTTCTACTTCCGATTTGTAACAGATCGAATGTGCACCCCAACATGTGTGCCAGCTGTTCCTCTTTCCTGAAGTCAGGGAGGGAGGCCCAGACAGGGCGGGGGAGGACAGGCTAATTGAAAACAGACTTGAGAGGAAGTGATGTTTGGCTTCGTCAGACTCTTGGTTTGCTCCTAAAAAAAAGATTTTTTTTCCATTTCGCTCTATTCCCTGACTCATTAAGGCTCTGTCACTGTAGTGTTTTGTAGTAAATCACATCAGAGCTTTAAGAGGCACATTGTCTGCTTTACAGCCTGGACAGAATATCCATGATGATCCAGATGTGTTGCTATTAGAGACCAAACACTGGCTATCAGTGATGAGTAATGTCGATGCTGTTCTTGAGAAAATCAAGACACCTTTACTCATGTGAAAGAATATATTTGTCTGCCAAACTACAGTTTGTTTCCTTATGATGCCATTGGTCTTGTGGTCATCTGGTCAAGGTCCACTGTTGTAAAACTCATCCCCTGTTATTGCACAACAGCAGTTCAGTGGCAGTGGAGATCAGTATACTACACATATAGTACTTATTTTAAGAGAGCATGCTTTGTTTACTGTTTATATACTTATCAGAGATATCCTAACCAAAATTAATTATACTTGAACGTGAATATGACTAAAAACATGTGCCAATCATCTTGTTAATGTCATTACTGACCTGTCACTGAACTGTCACAGGAGAGTGTTCCCACTGGCTTTAAGACAGCGTCCAAACAACTACCGCCCTGTGACACTCATCCCAATTCTGATTAAGTGCTTTGACAAACTGGTTCTCCAGCACATAAAGAATAACATCCCTGCCAGCCTGGACCCCCACCAGTTTGCCTTCAGAACCAGCAGATTCACAGAGGAAATGAAAAAAACCCTGTGGGCCAGAGCATTCCCCGACATAGAGACAACTCTGTTTGTATATGACACCACCATCATTGGCCGAAACAATGAAGAGACTTCATATTCGGAGGAAATCAAGAATCTTTTAGAGTGGTACACAGAAAACAACCTCCTGCTCAATGTCAGCAAAACCAAAGAGCTGATTGTTGATTTTAGGAAAATAGAGGCAAAACAGTTTAGGAATCTATGTGGTAATCAACATATCAAAGAACCTGTCATTGTCATCTCACATTTCCACCCTGGATAAGAAAGCATGCATAAAAAAACACTGTATTTCTTAGGGAAACCTAAAAAAGCAACATTCCTGTGACAAGTTCCAACTTTTACGGAGGAGGGGCACCCTGATAGCTCACCTGGTAGAGCTGGTGCCCCATGTACCAAGGCTGAGCCCCTGTTGCAGCAACCAAGGGTTTGAATCATGTGGCCCTCTGCTGCATGTCATCCTCTCTCTCCACACCCCCCCTCCTGTTACTCTTCAGCTGTCACTATCCATTAAAGGCAATAAAAGCCCCCAAAAATAAGTTTATTAAGACTTTTACAGAGCATTTACACAAGCATCAGTGGAAATCAGAAATGACATGAATTAATTGAGACCAATTAACACCATAAAAGGAGGAGCTGGGGTGGAGGTGGGTTGCAAAGCGGCTTGTAGAGGAAGCAGCAAAGATGATGTACTGTAGCTGGAATTGACAGCTGGGCTTGACTTCGCCAGAACTGTTTTACCACTAGTTTATAGGGAACTATATATAACCTGGGCTCGAAATCCCTGCCATAGTAAAGTTCACTGGTACTACAGTTCACAGTGTAGTTTCAGTCCAAATATAACTTAGATGTAATCTAGCTGTGTACTCAAAGTTTACTAGTCTTCCACTTACTAAAGAATACTTTAATAAACCAAAAGTAGGCTAATTTACATCCACGAAGTATTGAAATACACTTAGTGTAAGTGTATTCTAGTTTTCTATAATCATGTATTATTGCATTAGTGCATTTTATTATGAGCCAATGTATTTTTCTCCTCTACACCTGAATACCTGAATAACACTGATGCCCAATTGTATGATACATTTAACAATTTGTGTGTAAGAAACTTGCTTTGTTGCCTACGAAAGATTAGAACATTTAGCTGTGATGCTCCTTTTTCTCCCTTCCTGTCCGAGATGGTCATTAACATGTATTTCCAAGATTACAAAAAGTGACTCTGGGTCAGACCTGTATACAGCTCTGTCCTGCTTTATTAAATAGACTAAAGACAACTTTTTGTTGTATCATTGTTTATTTCTTAAATTATCTGTGAGGAAAAACATAATTTCCATAATATCCACCTCATCCACACCTAACATCAGAATGTGTACATACATTAACCTTTGTCCAAAAATATATTGATGACAACGGTGCACTTGATGTTTGAAAAATTGCCCTTTAGATGTTGTTTTAGTGGTCAAGAGCCCCTTTGTGCAACCAGAAACACCTTATTTATGATGTTTTTGCACTTACAGTACCTGTTTATTTAGTCCTGCACCCTGATAGTGGATCAGCTCCACCATTGTTTGTAACTATGAGAATATACCTTGGCACTTTAACTGCTCTCTGAAAAACTAAAAGCAAGCACTCCACCCAACATGTTGAGTAAAACATTTTTTTATGTAGCCTACATGGATCAAAGGTTATATAATTCATTTGAAGGTGATCTTATAGATACTGTCCCACCCAGCTCATATAAAGTTGGCTGTCTTGCTCATGCTCCTTATACAACCTAAGCGACATGCTTTAACTGAAATCCTAGGAGATAATTCCAAATGAAATATTTTTCTTTATTCTACTTCGTTTAAGA